CATCTCCATCTTCAGGTGCTGTAATTTGCCTATTCATTTATTTACTCAAGCATGAGTTCACGTCAGCATTCCAACCCAATTTTTCTCGACTGGGATTCAGGACCTGAACAACCCCAAACACCAGTGGATTCTCAATCTAACAATGTATGTGTCCCCTCTACTTTGCATCATTATGCATATTGATCTTTCTCTCTCTTTTTTTCCAGAAACAGCAACAATCTGAGAGCCCTCACCCAGAAGATCAGGACGATCCAACCTTCACCTTCCTTTTCAACTGCGAGTTCTATGCCCCTGACAAGGAACAGAAAACAGGATTTCTTCAAGTCAAATGCTCCGACTGTCCAGTTCAATGGAATTCAACCTGCTTTGACTTAGACCTTTTGAAAGAAAAATGTATTGAAGCCGCTATATGTGACAAGACTAAGGAATCTATGACGGATTTGCTCAACGAGTCACTCCTTGACAAGAAGAATTTAGGTGTCTGGACTGCCTACATTACATCCAATAAGAGCTTCCCCAAGCTCTTAAAAAATCGTAAGGCGTTAATTCCGGAAAAGTTTCAGGACTGGGTGGAAGAAGCTCATGCCGAATACCCAAAAGAGTCTGGATTCTCTTATATTGTACCCAGTCCAGTCAAGATCAAGGCCAATGCAGAACAAGTGGGTTCTCTCTCTTGACTTTCTCTCAGTCCTGGTTCTGGGTGACCGCTCATACCATCTTGCCTGTAGGCCGCCCGAACCAAGGTTATTGCTGCCGAGGCTAAGCGGAAACAAATGCTTTGCGCTTCGGCAAAAACTTCACAAACACATACCAACATAACAGATGATTTGGAACTTGATAAAGTAAGTGCAGGCTGTTTGGGTTTGAAGTTGATCTCATGCTGACTATTACGGCTTATGGTAGTGCGAGGATGCAAGATCCGATATCTCAAGCAAATCAGAAAAGACTGCCCAGAAAGAGTTCATCGCATTACTTTATAAGACTTACCCGACCAATGGCACCTATAACAACCAGTATCCTGCTGTCATTGACCCTTTAGATTCAACAAAGTATTTTGCTTTGACCTTTGGCAAAGCCAAGGAGTGGGCTCAATTACGAGTCAGTCACCAATAATCTGGTCAATCTCACTCAATTCTCTTCTCATGAATTGTTTTTTTATACATAGCACGAAGACAAAGTAGAATTTGACAGCCCTCCTGCTCATTTCAAGTATGACTTGATCAAGCGCGACCTGGAAGATACCCCGGCTGCTAGCACAACTCCGATTCCTACCAGCACCACGACTGCCCTGACCCCAGCGTTATTCAGTGAGATGGTAGTGGGGGTTGTCACTGCCATTGAGGCGAGGCAAACACCACAGAGGCCAGCAATCGAGGCCAGAGAATCACCACAGAGAACATCACCCGGTTATCAAAATCGAACTCCTTCTCGCAGCTCTCGCAAGCGCCTGGTCAGTCCTGAGCTATCTCCGCCACGGTCATCATCCCCCATTTGGGCTTAAGACCCGTCAGACTCAAACGGTATCAATGGATTCCTCAAGTTTTGTGCATACTCTGAAGACAAAACCATCAAGATCCGCAAAATATTGGAGGACGCTGATGTTACCGACTATCGAATGATTAACCATTTATCCGAGAAGGATCTGATGAAGGACGGCTTATCCAAGATGAACATCTTGAAGCTTTTCCAAACCACCAAGAAGTATAAGAGCCGTCTAGCGCGTGACGCAAGTAAACCTGGAAATAACCCGTCCTCATCGTAATTTACGATGACTTTTGTAAGAAACCAATCTCATGTTTGTCTCTTCAAACAACTAAACTGCCCTGCCAATGATACCTCCACTAACACGTTATGTACCTCTTTCAAAACAGCTTGTGATGTATCTCCCCATAAAAACCGTCTTGATAGGACTTCCAATAACACAGTGAATCTCTCAAACCGTCTTGATAGGACTTCCAATAACACAGTGAATCCCCCCCAAATGTACATTATGATTGTTTTCATAATGTACATTTGGTGATAGAAAGGCTTGGGCGCTATGGATCTGTCTCTCATGTCAACTGTCTTTAAGAACAATGCAATTCAAACTTATACTTGCCAATTATGACAAGTCATGAATCTCATCATTTAGGACTCGGACAAATGAAAAAGCCAATCAAGACTTCCTTGTTCTTGAAAAGTAGTACGAGTGACTCGTTCTCTCACAAGTAACCCAAAGTCCAGATGTTTGGATCACATGAGTTGGAATTTTCATTGTTTAGGACTTGTGCAAATGCAATAAGCCGATCGAGACTTCCTTGTTCCAGAAAAGGAAGTCTTGATCGGCTTATTTATGAGTGACTCGTTCTCTCTAACAAGGAACCCAAAGTCCAGATGTTAGGATTACATGAGTTGAACTTGGAATACTCATTGTTTAGGACTTGTGCGAATGAAATAAGCCGATTGAGACCTTATTCCTGAAAAGGGGTACAAAGTTTTTGAATTGGTCTCTATCATAAGGAACACAACGTCCAGACTATTTGGGATGAAAAATGAAGTTGTTCATTCTTTCTCACGAGTACTCTAAAGTCTAGTTTTCTGATCATTTTCACAATGATCGTTTTCGCAAGGCACTCAAAGTCAAATGAATTTCAATCAAATGATTGGTCACTACAACAAAAGGATACAACCACTCAATGAGATTGTTTCAACAAGCGATCAGTTGATCGCGTAAACAAGTCGCTTGTACATCTGTACAAGCTCAAACTCAAACATGATGAAGAAGCGAAATGAAAAATTGATAGTATTGATAAGGTGTAAGATCATTTACGGTCTCTAATGTAATCAAAAAGTTGAATCGATGATGTTCAAGATCATCCACAGTTTGTAATCTAATCAAAAGGTTTATACCCACATTGGGCATACAGTCGATGTAATAGTCCTTGTTGGAACGTCTTGCAGGCTGCGTCTTCGATGTGTTCAACAGGGTCACAGATACCAGCCAGCACTTGAGACCGTATAAGATCGGATTTTAAACAGTTGAAGCCCAGTTCAATCGGGTTCAACTCTGGGCAATATGCAGGTAGGTATTTGAGAAGGATTCCTAAAGAGTAGACATACATATCAGACAAATGCAGTATAACTCGATGTCAAACAGGAAGAGATCGTATTTACCTTTTTCATCACATAGTTTTTCAATCTCACCACCATGATGTATGGATGCGTTGTCCAGCACAAGCACGCTGTTAGGACCTGGGTACTGATTCATTCGCGGAAGCTAAGGTAGTATATCAGGATTCGGCATGCTGAAATTAAGAGCAGAGAAAACCAAACTTACCAGGCTATATTTGAGGAAGCGTTCGAATCGCTTTCGATTGACAGGGCCCTCCAGCACTGAGAGAGCAAGTAAATCGTGATATCCAATTGCAGGAAGGATGGAAAATCGTCCTCGGTGTAATCTGGGCACGTTGCGGGTGGTCCGCCTGCCTTTCTTCGATCGCTGTCGTTTCCGAAGGAGATCTCGGCCACAGATGCTGCTTTCATCTAGGTGTTGAGGACGGACAAGATTGATAAAGAAGAAAGTTAGTAAATGAAACAGACAGAGCTATGATGTAGATATTTGATGATTGGACAAACAAACTGACCCGTGAACACCAAAAAACTTGCCGGAAATCCCATCATCATTTCCATCCACTCGAATTTAGCCACTAAGTCTTTCCGAACATTGCTAACCCCAGCTTTCTTCAAAGTGATCATCAAGCAGGTTTGAAGCTCGAGTTGAATTGTGCTGATAGACAGCATCTTGCCCTGAGTGTCATAAACTTGTGCTTGAATTTCATCCAGAAACAGGGATGGATGTTCGTCTATTATAGTTTCCATAAACTGCCGGTCGCCTGCATTCAATTTGGTGTGTCGACCACGGGGCTGGTAATGGTGAGGATCTCGAATGACAGATCGAGTATGACGGTATAGATCAATCCATCGAGAAAACGAGCTTTTTGAAATCAGGCGTCGAAGGCGCTGGCGGATTGTTGATCGAGGGAGTCCTGCAAGTCGCCAGCGAACCGCCAGGACCTTGATATCGGGAGAGTATTTGCGAAAAGCCATGAAGAAAGGTGGGTCGAGAGTGCTACAGTGAGATTCCTTTATAAGCATGGTGATGGTTGCATCAAATCCCATGCTAATATAAAAAATGCTTCTTATCGGAACAGACCTAATAGCCTATAGGAGCATAAAACATGCTCAAAATTATGCTATGCTTGAATGTCAGGCTTGGCACTTGCAACTATTGAAAAATATGTACTACAGAAACCTAGAAGCAAAAATTGACAGACAGTTTTTCAATTGATCTTCGCTTTTCTACTCAATGCAGCCTAATTTACTCCACTTCACCTACCTTTCTTCTCCTTTCTTGCATCACATAGAAGCATAAACACGTGAAAGAATCATGTTATGCTTCTTTTTTCATGCTTCACATGAAATTATACAAGCATATCAGTCAAAACCTGAAGCATATGCTTAAAATGCTTATAAATCCAAATTTACTGCCCACCAAAAATGGTCACATCATTTTTGATGCTTATCAAAAAATATGCTTGTAAAGGCAATGCTTAAAAAGGAATCCCACTGTAATGATTGAAGGAGATCAAAAGCCCGATTGCAAATGCTTCAGGGTACAGCTGCGGCGCAGTCCTGCGGTGGGCAGGTCATGTAAAAAAAAAAAAACGGCTCAAAGGTGTCAACCTTTCTAGCAAAGGTAATAAAAGCCCTTGCTCCTTTTTTTATTTTTTTTATTTTTTTTAAATTTTTTTACGCTGCCCTCCGGATACCGGATATCCGCCGGATAGCCGCCGGATAGCCAGTATCCGGAGGGTGTTCGGTTCGAGTCTCGGATGGAAGGTTCTGTAAAAAAAAACCGATCGGTTACTATCCGATCGGTCCGGATGCTCAAAATTAACCGTCGGTCCGGTTGTCGGATGGAGGTCGACATGCCGGATATCGACCGGAGCACAGCTTGATCTCAGAACAAGCAAATGATATGATATATATTCAGCACCCAATCTCAAGACATTTGTAGTTTTTTCTCATCAATGTCCATGGTACAACTACAAACTAGCCAACATCCTAATCAATCAAGAACCCATCCATTCAATCAATCAAACACAAACTCAAACCCAACCCACTTCCTCAAACCCATTCCCATCCAATCTTCTTCTTCTTCCAACAAATCTCAATCAACCACATCTCTCATTCTCATTCACTGATTTCTTTAATTTCTTCATTCACTCATTTCTCACTCTGAGACAATACTTCTTGAACCGATTCAGATTCAGCAGCCGCTTCTGATTTACCCACTTGTACCTGTCTCATCAACTCTTCTACATCTCCCGAAGAAGCAGCTCCAGGTAAACCAGTTCCTTGTCTAAACCTATTAGATGCACGAATCGTAGCAATAGCTTTTCGAAATGTCTAAAAAAACACCACACAGACAGACAGAGAGATTCAGATCAGCAGAAAAAAAGGCACAAAAGATGATTGAATCTTACTTTTTTCGCATCAAAGTGTCGTTGAAGGTGTGGAAGTAAGTTTTGGGTCTCTCCTCTTTCAGAACTTGGATCTACTACTCCAGGTTCATCAGACGAAAGCCATCGATGAGCCAAAGCGCTCTGAGAGGTCATTCTAGCCTCAGGAGAAACCGTCAAACACTGAGCAATAAATTCACGTGCTTGAACCGCCCCGAAGAAAAAAAGCCCATCCAATTCAAACATCAGATAAATGTCAAATCCAAAAAAAAAAGATCACTAATAGATTCATTTACCTGTATCCGAAACGTTTCTCCAATACTCAACCGGTTCGAATTTATAATCTGCACTACAGATAGCTTGGATCTCTGCAATACTATTATCTTTATCAAATGGAGTATAACCACACAACAAGAAATAAGTAATAACTCCTACTGCCCAAATATCCACGGGTTTTCCATGACCCGATTTCTTAAAGATTTCAGGTGCCATATAACCTACAAAGAAAGATCAATAAGTTGTTTGAAATCTTGGATAGCAAATCATCTGCCCTTGCCTGGTGTGCCACATGTGGTGGTGAGGGCGTTGAACTTTGTGTCGTCGATTACTTTCGAAAGTCCGAAGTCTGCAATCATTAAATCTGAATCATCTTCTGGTCCACGAAACAGTAGGTTTTCTGGTTTCAAATCTAACAAAAAAGTAAGCCGGAAAAAAGAAAGAAGGGAAAGAAAAGAAGGTTAAGTTGTGATCCAAATTATCCAAAGATCACATCAAGTGAAGTAGATCAGCAAGATGTGTGTGAAAGTATGCTGCTTGGATCCAAGGTCTTTGGACTCATGAATGATCTGATCAGCTTACCTCTATGAACGATCCCATGATCGTGTAAATAATCTACTCCACCCAAAACAGTTCTGACTAAATGACGAGCATCTCGTTCGTAGTATTGTCCTTTAGCACAGATCCGATCAAAGAGTTCACCACCTTGGCAAAGATCGGTGACTAGGTAAAGGTTGTTCATGGTTTCGAAATACTGGAGTTGAACGTAGGAATCGGTTAAGTATTGATCGGACAGATGATCGAAGTGAAGTGAGAAAGGCTTCAAGGAGGGTAAAGAGAGACGTACGTCGTGAAGGGTGACGATGTTCGGATGACCAGCTGAGATCTTTTTGAGCACATTGATCTCATTTCTTACCTATACGATCCAGCCCAAAAAAGTAGAGAACAGTTAGCTTTGGGATGACAAATGAGCCAGATGAAATCCGAGAGATTGTTTCAAGAGAGAAAGTTCACAGACCATGTGCTCTCGACCTTCCATGAGTCGTTTATTGATAACCTTACAAGCATAATACTTACCGGTATGAATATGAACAGCTTCTTTAACGACGGCATAGGTACCTATTCGAATAACGATCAATACTGAACAGTTGTAGTTGAATCTGAACGAAGCCTTCCTAACCTTGACCAAGTGTTCGACCTGAACAAAAAATATATCAATCAAGATTTGATTTGAGATGTTTGGAAAACTAGATGAAAGATTTCAAGAATCAAAACTGACCAGTTTTGTATTGACAAGGAACTGTTTGAGGTGCCATGATTGAACTTGAAGTTTAAGATGAAGAAGAAGTTGATCAGGTTAAAAAGTGGATTTACACCAAGATTCAGAACTATCACAATCTCTACTGAATCACAGTATTTGTAAATTGATAATTTGTGAAATTGGTAAAATTGGTTCAACTTTTTCAAGAATTTCTTTTTGTTTATCCTTCAACCCATCTTACTTAATCCATTTTTATAACCTCATCACAATTCACAGCTTCATCTCATCACGCTACATACATATGTGGAACATCTCAACTTTCTCGGTCTTTCCCAGCGCTTTACATCCGATCGGTATTTGATTTCAAGCTAAACTTTAAAATTGGTTTTCAACTATACCTTTCTAAACCCATAGATTTTCAAGCAAAGATATCTGAACATCACAAGCAGAAAACCATGAATCATGGCGACTACATCTTAACCATCATTTGAAATTTCATTGCCTCTTTTCCTGTGATGTACCCGCAAGACATTTCAGTTTGACCAGCTCATGCTATGTATGTTGCCCAAGGAAAGTGGAAAGACCTTCACAGCATTTGAAGGTCTATCCTGCTTTACTCAAGGTTCACACGCAGGATCATCCCAAAGCTTTGCGGTGTTGGTAAGTCACAGCAAAGCCCTGCTTGGCATGCAATCTTTCCAGTGTCGCAAAACCTCAAAAGTATGTAGTACACAAAGATTTCAAGAAACCTCAGTGAAGAAAATCAAGTCATGATCATCATGTATGTAGCGAAATAATTTATCATTTCAATTAATCTAATCATATTTCAAATCAATAAAATCAATAAAACAAGACAAAAAAACATTCTAAATATTTCATAAAGATAAGGGAAAAACAGTTAAATGCTTATTACAGAAACTAAAGATAACAGTTAAGATATAAATTAATGCTTTTTAAAAAAAGAAATCTCCCCCTTAGCCTTCTCAAGAAAAAGACCATACAAAGTTGTAAAATTAAGAATAAAAATTAAAAGATAAAAGACAACAGTTTGCTTAAGAAGGAATAATTGCCTCCGAAGTTCTTTCCCTACACCTTTTCAAAAACCTAGCCAAGTCCGTTCCACCTGTACCAAGTTGAACAGATCGTTTCTTAAGCTCCCTAGATTTTTCCCATTGTTTTAAAAAAGGACTATTAAGTGGTGGTTCGATTCTACTTTGTGATAAAACATACCACAATGCAATCTTTGAATGAGTAGCTCTTAGTTTCAAAAGTGATTGAACAGATTGATTGTATGCTGAAAATAACGAGGAATCAGGTGAAGCGATTGATGCTAAACTTCTGACTGAATGAGTGATTTGGTTAGGTAGTTGTGGAAAGATTGTTAAGTGTGAGTTTGGGCTTAAGGTTTGTGATAGGTGTTGAAGAAAGTTTCGATGGTGGTGTGGCATGTAGGCGGCCATACGTTCCATAAAGGTAGATTCGTGTGAAGTGCTATGACCTTCAGTGGGTCTAGGACGATGGTCTATTCCAAGGAAAACGTCAAGTGAATGGATCAGAGTCGATTGACCTGCACTCGGTCCTCCCCACTTCACCACCACACCATCCGAACCCATCTGACGTGTACCTCCATTCATCCAAGGTCGTATAAGCCAATAAAAACAAGCAGGTTGACAATCGTCTCGAACCTTTTCAAGTAGAACTGTGATTTGATCGATAATAGATGCTAGTAAGGAAAGATTGGCTGAGATTCTTGCAAATGATAGTTGATCTGCTAGTAAGGCTTCGTCTAGTAAAGATCTCATTAATGATAAACACATCGGACCAAGTGATTCGATCAAAACAGAGGTCTTGTAGAAATGTTCTTCGTCTTTGGTTCCTGTGAAAGTGGTCAAGATTTTAACATTCCTATAGAATTACATTCAAAACCATATTAATCAGTTTTCCAAAGTATTAAAGGTCAGTTTTTAAAGCCAAAAAAAACTCACTCAGATGTGAACCCATTGGCAGGATTGATCAAAGTCCAATTATAAAGTACAGTATCTGAATAAGTCAAGACAGGAGGAATATCAAGTAATTGACTAACAGCACAAAAAGGTAAAGCTAAAGAAGAAGGAACTAGAACAGTTTTCGTCGATCCTTCTTCTTCTTCATCATCATTAACTTGATCACTATGAAGATAAAAATGTACCAAGAAAGCTAATACAAGATGAGCTCTACGTAGTAATGGTAACTGGTTTGCGAGTGGATCATCAGCTTGAACTGAAAGGATTGGTAAGCCTTCACGAATATGTTTTCGCCAAGTAGCAGTATGAGCGTTACGAGATTCGCCTAGACCGAGTTGAAGACCTTTGGCTTGGTCTAGAGCTTCTTCCCATTGAGACCAAGGATGTAGTTCGATTCGATGAATGGGAGGTAAACGTGGTAAGAAACCAGATCGAATGTCAATATGAGGATGATTAGATTGAGATTGAGATTGGTTTTGATTTGATGATGTAGTATGTGGAATGGGTGAGAAAGGAATAGGATCTATTGAAGAGTTTGAAGTGGGATGATGATGATGATGATGATGATTTGAAGAATTAGGATATTGAAGATGAAATGCTGAAGTTGAAGTAGTGACACCCATTTTTGAAAATGATGAGTAGATGAAATTACAAAAGAAAAGGTTTTTTTAAAAATGTTGATGATGAATTAAAAATGGTTTGGGGTGGGTATTTTGGTTAATTAATTTTGAAAACTTAACTTCAGGTTGGGTGACGGTCACTGGTTCAAAGAAATCAAAGAGTAGATCATTTGAAATTCACTTTGTCACGAATCCACGATTGGATTTGATCCATGATGATGAAGATTACCTTTGATTTGATTCCCCACATCCGCTTCATTCTCTACATGGTTTCATTTACAACACAATCAATCGGTGTAAGTAGTTTCATTTTTAACGGAATCACCGAAACAGATCGACCAAAATCAAAATCAAATCAAAGCTCGGATTTACAATCAATATCACTTTCATGTAAATCTACTGAAATCTAAGACTATGGGTCCTTTCTTTGCGTCTTCTTCTTCTTCTTCATGACCGTTCAGTGATGATTTGGATGATAACTTGAAGATGACTCATCAGAAAAAATCATTCAACGGGTGATTCGAATCATACCATTGAATTTGTGTGTGAGTGTGTGTGTCTTAAGAGTTAAATGGGGTTTCTCTTCAAACCTGTTAGAGAGTTTGATGGAAGATCCTTGAAATACTCTACAACTTTCAAACAAGTCGGATCAAGAATTATATTCAATGAAAGACTGTTCCAGAGCTTAAATAGTGATTTTACTGTCTCTGAAGCTTTGAAGTATCAATTTGGTTAAAGATTCTAGTTAGATTTCTTTTCTGCTGAGACTGAGACTGAGACTGAGACATTCGCAGTTTAACCCATCATCATGAAACTCATCCATACGAATCATAGATGGTTTCGATTCCAAGTGGGATCACAAGAAGAACTTGAAGTTTAAGAAATCAAAATACACTCTCTTGCACAAACCTCAACCTCAACATCCATCGATCTTTCCTAATCATTCATTCTTTTCTAGCATATATACGTTCATTAAACTCTTCATCGATCATCACTCATTAACGTTCATCATGTTCAAAGCCATCAAACCATTCTTAGTCTTGATGACCTTCTTAGTCTTGATCATCGCATACACACTGGCTCATAAACATAAACCGATAGGTCTAGAAGTCACATGTGAATCAAGTTGGAATACCACTCAACTCAATACTACTTCTGCTTATAGTCAGTCTCTTTCTCTTTTGTTTCGAAATTCTTGGGTCTTTCTCCACAAACTCTGATTTCCATCTTGGGTGTTTTCTTTAGCTTGCTCTGATCGTGGTGTGAATTATAATTGTACAATTTGTCATGGAACTCTACGTAAGTTTACATGAATGTTTAGAAAACCCATTACCAGATTCATAAGCAAGAAGCTTATACTGAAGAAAACAAATCTATTTCATCATCCTCTTCTTGTTTGTGTTGATGTTTGGGAAAGATAGTGGGAAAAGATTGTTATAAAAAACTAGGTGAAGATCATTTTGATATAAACCCATCAGGTGATATCCAATGTACCAAATCCTATAACCGTACAGCCTACGAAGAAGGTGGTGGATTAACTAGTAAGTCATCCAATCTTTTTTTCTTTGATGCTTTGATCATTTAACCGATTTATATCTTTTGGTTTTTTGTTTTTTTTTGGCAGTTTGTATTGATAATTCTAATACGGTTTATCAATGTTCACATAACGAAAAACCTACTGGTAAATCCTCTCTCTCTCTGTCTCTTATCTATTCAAGTCTTACTGATAAATTGGTTGATGGGTTTTTTTTGGGAATCGTAGTATGTGAATCTTGTGAACGGGTTGGGGTAACAAGTAATCCATGAAATCCGATTTCATCTTTTTTTTTAGTTTGATTGTTCATGTTTTCCTTTACGAGTTTGGGTTTTGAGAAATCAATTGAAAAGCTTTTGATTAAAAAAAAAGCTTTTTGAGTTATACAAAATCAAATTCCAAGAAAAAAAATGATTTATTTGTAGGAGTTTCGAGGGCAAGGAATTTTTTGGATGAGTGAATTGATTAGTTGTAAGACAGTTTATGGTAGTTGAATTTTGATTATTATTTGGTAAATAGTATGACTGGTTGAGAACAAATGATTTAGACGAGACTTACACTACACAAAATGTCATCTTTACCGGGCGGTAAAGAAAACTACTGACATAGAAAAGTCCTGAGGCAACAGGAAGAGAGCTAAAAATCTGAAAAAATATGCACCTTGTTCCTAGATGTTGGGGCGTCATGACGAGTATTTTTTTGTATTTTACACACAGATATTGGTTAATGTACTAACAATAAAGGCTGAGAATCATCAAAAACCCACCTGTAACAATACCTGAAATTTGGCCCTTGACTTTGAAGACAGGATTTTGGAATCTTCAAACATCAATAACTTTTGCATTTCTGAATAAAATCACTCAATTTGAAGTACATTAAAAAGGCGAGCCTTTCCTCTACATTTTTCATTCAGACATCACATCTGTAGCTGGTCTAAAAAAGATCCTACAGAGCTATTCATGCAGAACTGTTTGAACATATGTAGAGTGTTTAAATGACTAGATAGCACCTTACTAACATTATGAAGTGTGAAGGAGAATAGTTCAGCTTTTGAATGAACCAAAAATCGAGTTCTTTGGAGCAGAATTGCAAAAGTTATTGAAGTTTTTAGACCACAAAATATTGTCTTCATACTCATGACCCAAATTTCAGGTATTGTTACATGTGAGTTTTTGTTGATTGTCAGCGTTTATTGTTAGTACATAAACCAATATCTGCGTGTAAAATACAAAAAAATACTCATCATGACGCTCCAACATCTAGGAACAAGGCACATATTTTTCCAGATTTTTAGCTCTCTTCCTGTTCCCTCAGGACTTTTCTATGTCAGTAGTTTTCTTTACTGCCCGGTAAAGATGACATTTGGTGTAGTGTTAAAAGGTTTAGCTTGGATACATACCAAAAGACTTTCTTCACTTTTGAAAGGAAAGTGCACCTGATCAGCTTATTTGAGGTACATCATGAGTGGGGGAAAATGATCAAGAGAATTTCCTTACAAACCATTATGTTTCCTCATTTCCATATAGAACATATCCAAACCAAACTTATCAAACTCCTCCCGCCCGAGTTAAACTTGTCACCCTTTTAACTCACAACAGCACGATTTTTGGCAATTGTTGGTTTATCACTCATTATGAGGGTCCTAGACCTCATCAAATCTTGCTTCCAGCCGCTAGGACCTTCATTTTCACCTTGTACATGTTCTTGTGGATTTTTATCAACCATTTTATTCATCAAACTCACTTCAGAAGAGTTGTAAAAAGTTGTTGCTGGAACACCAAATTTGATACAGGACCCCTAAGGTGTACAGATGTCTCCAAAAACACGGTGTCCAATAATTGCAATAGCAGCATATCTATGTATCCACAATGAAGGTCTGAAACCGGCACCAGGAGACCCACAAGATGTCAAGGAAGCTGTGTGTAGTTTGAAGGAAGATTTTATGAGGTGTGGGACCCTCATGATGGGCAAAGACAAAAAAAATGGCCGAAAATCTTCCTGTTGTGAGTTGAAAACCAAGACATTAGCCATAAGTCCTTCCCTCAACTACTTGGACAGGGTGACTTTGATAAGTTTATATCCAAACCCACCTCTGATGTGAACAAAAACTCCTCATGTTGGCCTATATACAACCAAAATCTTCTTGTTACACAGATACCACTTGATGGATTTTGTACTTTATCTTAGCCTTGTATTAGTAAGCCTCCATGATCATCAAATTGAAAACTTTTAGTGCTCAAGCTCTCTATTCTTTGTTGGTTAAAATGTACTACCTAAACAATTCTTTATGATTTTCTTTTTGATGAATTGAACTTTCAGCTTGAATGATCAAGAAGTTCAAACTTGAAAAGGTCCAATGAAATACACACAGTCATCCAAAGACCAAAGCGATTACAACATATACCAAAGGGCCAACATACAAATCTAGTGATGTGTCCGACCACTATGTATAGAATTGATACCTGTTATTATTGCCTGAGCAGCTACAGAATTATATGTAGTGAATTTTTGGGACATTTCTTTCAAATTCAAAAAAGTTACATGTGGTATGGGCAAAAAACCGAAACAAGAATGTTATAATGAAGTTTAATTTGATAATTTAATTTAATTTTGAATGAATCTATTTTGATGAAGATTATTGAATACTTTGAATTCTGAGGTGGATCGTCCTATCATTGTCAAGGGTATACATTCAGAAGTTCCTGTCAATAAGCTTGATTGTAAGAAAGTCTTGATGAGTTGGATATTGGATTTCAATTTGGTAAGTTGAAATTGAATCAACTTTTTGGAATTTGATTTTAATATAAACCAAGCCAATCAGAAAAACTCAGAGTTGGAAAGAGATATTGCAAAGAGAGGGAAAATACCAAACATGAAATGATGAACCAAACAGACAGCCTCACCAAAACAGAAGTTACTATCTGGATCAATTAGAGGTAAAATAATTAAGACATTGAAAAGTCTGAGTGAAGAGCCTGTGGATGACACTGTAAACATCATTCAACTTCCCCAAGTTGGAAGAGAAAAAGGATTAATAGTACAGTTTGTCATAAAATGATCCAATACTGCACACCTGAGCCATAAAACCCACACTACATATGTACAGCAAGCTAAGTAATTAGTTGTCTATCATGTACATACAGGTCTGCTCAGTTTTTGCCCATCAGAGTAAATAAATCACTTGTTATATTACATTTGCTAGAAATGTTGTCACCTCTGGCACATTTGCATCACAGCTTCAGGAGCAAATTTTGCCGCAGCTGCTGCGCACAGCGGCGGCTGATGACAAGGCCTGCTTGATCTGGCTGGCTGTCATCCTGCTGTTCCAAGCCCAGCACCATCCACCAACCCACCAATTCAACACCACCACAAACATCACCAATCAACATACCCTTCTCGACAACAAATACCAATCTTAAAATACCTGGTTTCAAATCACATCCAAAATCAATGTTACAGAAGATTGAACTTTATGTGCACCATCACCAATGTTTTCAAAATTCAGTCACTTTCATGGTTTATGAACAGTTGTTTTTTCACTTCAAAAGAGTTCATTTTGGTTTGACCTTTTCTAGGCTACTAATTATTGATTGAAATGAGCATTTCTATTGTGGGAGAAAAAGAGTGTATTCAATGATATTTGAGACAAGGGAATCAGTTTGGCTAGGTGGCACGAGGTTGTTGTGGTTACTCAGAGCATGTGACCTGGGGCCTGAGTTTCATGTGATAAAAGCACACAGAGTACTTGCGGGTGGCCAAGACTAGGCGCTGGGCGCTCCACTGGAGTGCCCCCCTACTTCTGATCTAGAGGAAGTGATAACGGCAGCCTGAAACTTAACCCCAGTCTGACTAGAGGGTGGTGGGCGGGAAAAAAACAAAAGAGCTAAACAACAAAAAAAATAAACTGATAAAATAATTAGGTTGGTGGAGATAGTTTTAAGAGATGTGAAGAAAGATTTGAAAATAGATAGTATAATTTTTTGTGTGTAGAGACTACGAATTTTGTTTTTATGAAGTTAGAGATATGAAAATTTTTCTACACAACTTTTTCTGAGACAACTCTGGAATACAAACAGAAAGGACGATAGAGGAAAAATCTTTGGAGTTGGGTTTGGCGCGAGTCATCCATTGGGGTGAATGTCGCAGTGCCAATTTTCTTGCCACTCTTTTGAGAGTGTTTCCGCCAACAACCTTTGCTTGTGACCGTCGCCTTTCACAGATTCCACTCTGATAATACTGTGTACCATCCCCGAATCTCATGATACATGATATCTGATTGAGTGTCCTTCCAAAATATAAGACAAGAGTTCATGTGAGGATGATTGAACACTATTCATATATTTCTTATGAGACTCGGCGGATTGTTCTTCAGAGAAAAACAAGAATAATCGACAACTGCAATGAGTGTGTAAACAAAAGGAAGACAAAAAATTCGAACTCAAGTCTTCAATTCTGGTTGATCATGTTATCATACAAGACCATATCCTTTCTTTCATCCTTATCAAACTTCTTTTTCTCTCGGTCAGTTCTTATCAATCACTCACAGGTTTGGATTATATTCAGTTTACATACTAGCTCTCTCATTCTCTATCTGGCACATTTGAAAGCATGACATTCTCAGAATGAAATGAAGGTATTAATTTGAACATGTCTTGTGGAAATGTATTACTCAAGTGCTAATCAAGTGAATGCTCAGTAAAAGATATTTCTAGATGAAGTTTTCAGATCAAACCGTTAAAAGATGAAAGTGACCACAGGATTCGAGCAAATCAGATCCTAAACATTTCAAAAAGGACCATGTAAAAATGTGATTTGGGGATGTTGCTGGAGACAATTTTCTGAGCAAGATGGGATTGATGTTTGTTGTCGAGAAGGGTCAATGTTGATTGGTGATGTTCGTGGTGGTGTTGAATTGGTGGGTTGGTGGATGGAGCTGGGTTTGGAACAGCAGGATGACAGCCAGCCAGATCAAGCAGGCCTTGTCATCAGCCGCTGCGGCGAAATTTGCTCCTGAAGCTGTGATGCAAACGTGCCAGAGGTGACAACATTTCTAGCAAATGTAATACCACATGTAACTTTTTTGACTGCAAAATAATTGTCCAAAAAATTCACTACATATAATTCTGTAGCTGCTCAGGCAATATTGTTGAAGCTATTTCTTAGTAACAGAAAGGGTGTTATATGCAGTTGAGTTGATGAGATGACACCAAAACATTGAGTCACTGTATGTAGTCTATTGTCTGAATGCTTTTGTCAATGTGAAAGATGTAAA